GCATCCTATCTAGGCTTACAGCAATAGACTCTATTACCAGTTCACAAGATCTCTTTACTTAAGAAATCATTCATTAACATTTTGAAATCGTTAATACGACCCCACGAACTACTCAAGCCGTGGGCCCCATGACTGGACAAGCCATGAAGTTCCATGACTAAACAAGCCATAGTTTTCAAAACGTTTTTCTTTCGCAAACCAATCCTTTTCTTTAAAACATTTTTAAGGCCGAAATCCTTTTTGAAAACAGGCTCACAAGGAAAAGTGATAGAAATCCTACCTCGCACTATCAAACCTGGGACTAGCGTTGCCTTTTCCGGCTTCCGCTTCCTCAAGCCCCTTGAGTCTGAATCCTCAGCGATCACTGATGCAAGACAACACTTTAAGATCAATTCTCATTCCTAAAGTAATCCAAATCTCAATTCCCAACAAAGATTTCCCATTAGTGTGCCCTAATCCATTTTCATGTTTCAAATTATCATTCTAAGGGTTTTCAATCTGAAATCAAGGATGAACAATGCTAATCCATCTATCTCAAGTCCCCAAATGAAGCTAATTTGGGTTCTCCCCGAAAACAGGGGTTAAAACAGCATTTTCAGGCCAAACAGGGTCAAACCCCATGTCAACCGGTCGACCGGTGACAGAGCAGTGCAACACTACCGGTCAACCGGTAGTGTGCACACCGGTCGACCGGTCAGCCTACAGTCCGGTCGACCGCATAGGTCGACCGGTTTCCATGTGATCCGGTCGCACAGGTCGACCGGTGAAATCAGCTGCGTGAGAGAAGCTCGCGGAAATCAGTCCAAAACCTGCAAATCCAGTCCCAAATCGAGATATTTCAAAGGAAAACAACTAGATCTGGGTTCTATGTCCTAAAACAAGTCCAAAGAACCCAAGATCTCCAATTTCTACTCTAGTTTTACTCAAAAACCATCAATATCCGGTTTGAACCAAAAATAAGTTTTGAAATTCAAAAACTTGAGATTCAAGAGAGGTTCTTTCAGTAATCTTACCTCGAATCCTTCTCTTGACGTTGAAAACTTTTTTAAATCTTTCCTTGGTTCAAGATCCGTTTGATTTGGGACAAAAATGAGAGAGAGAGAGAGAGAGAGAGAGAGAAAGTACGGGAGTGAAGAGGGAGAGAGTGAGAGTGAAAGAGAGAGAGAAAGTGCACAGGAAGAAAGGAAGGAAAAGAAAAAGAAAGAAAAGAAAAGAAAAAGAAAAAAGAAAGAAAATGGACAAGTGTCAATATTTTAAAAGAGCAGTCCAGAAATGCGCACATACACACTTCTGGTTTAAAATAAATTATTAAGAATAATTTAAATACCTTGGAACTATTTAAACTCACTCGTGTCAGAAACATTTATTAATTAAGCTCAATTAATAATCCAGATTAAGCACACTAATAATGTCAATTACCTTAATTAATCTCAATTAATTTTTCAGGGTGTTACAGGATTGCTCTCCAAAAATCTTGTTCCCAATTGCGAATGGTCTTCTTAGGAGGCAATATCTACAATTTCCTCGAGGTACACTTTGACAAATACTGCAAGTTGTTGCTAAACAGAGTTATTGAAGATGAGCCAAAATCATTTCCCTAGTCTGCAATTTCCTCACTTTCCTTCAGATATAGACAATGTGGGCGGGGATGTTTCCTTAGATTGTCAAGAAAGTATGTTACAAATCAACTCTGTCCAACAACCACCATATTCAAGAGATTTCCAGAATGTGTGTTGATTGTGTTTTTTTTTTTTTTTTTTTTTTTTGTTACATTGGAATTGGTCCAGAAATCAACTGTCCAAGAACAACCAAATTCAGAAGATTTACACAATGGGGGTGCAGATTTTCCTCTGGCGGGCTGTGCAAATGGGGCACAAATTAGCAATTCTCAAACCACCTTGCTATTCAAATATCCCAATGTCTAACTCTTCAAGGTCGCAATCAAGCATTCCAAACAACATGCTGCCTACCGCACATTCTTTGTTACGATTTTCCGCCAGCAACAGCCATTTTTAGCTTTTGCTTAATTTCACTTTACTCTTCAACTTCAATTTATGATATCTCACATAACCATGTATCAATTTTTCACATGAGAACTCATCGTTTGAAAAACAAGACGATCTTTGTAGTTCGAGTGGGCAAGTGACATAATTTATTTTGATTGTATTAGATCTTTTGGCTCCAATTCTAACGAGTACTGATCTACTTTTCCTAGATTTTTTGGATGCTTGTGATGGTATTGGAGTCGAAAATGCTTCTAGCATGGGCCCTTTGGGATCTACTGATGATCGATTATGCAGATATGGCGCAGACAGAAAATGCTTCTAAAATGACACTTTGGGATCTACTGATGACTGATTATGCAGATATAACACAGACAGAGATAAGACTTGATATGCAGATATAACAGACACAGATGATGACTTGACAGCAGTTTCCTACTGCTCTATCAGTGACGGCCGAAGATCAAGACTATAATAAATTAATAATCCACCACTCACTTGTGATCTGGAAGAACTCCGAAATGAACCATTTCTTGTACCAATTATCGATGAACGAGAACTGGTTTCAAAATTACTCAAATGAGGTGGAGGGCAGCCGGAGAGAAACCAATCATTTCTCACCAAAACTATAGTCCACCAGTTGCAGACTCCAGAATCAACCCTCTCAAATACTATGAACAATGAGAGCCCTTAGCTAGGGATGTAAGTTAACAAATTTTGACGCATTACACCCTTGTTGTGGTTTTTCTTTTTCTGTTAGAGGGTGTTTTTTTTTTTTGTCATTGGTTTGATATTAGTGTCATCACCACTCCTAATGGGAAGCCCCTGCTATACTCTCCTTTAGCTATAACAAGCAATAAATGTTTTGTCTGTTGAGAAAGGTTTCTTACAATTCCTGGGGCTATTGGGTTTTTTGAATGCCTTTTTATTGACATGAAGCAATGTCTCAATGTGTTGTCTGGTGAGAAAGGTTTCTTACAATTCCTGGAGGGCTATTGGGTTCTTGAATCCCTTTTTATTGTCGTGTGGCAATGTCCATGATCTAGCAGGGAAATTAATCCACTTGGACTATAATATTTCTAAATGTCATTGCAAGATTCATTTATCATATACTTGAAAATTACTGAGAAATTTTAGAAGAGAACTTTTGTCTGACGTCTCTTTCAAGTATATACTAAATAGACCTAAGACTTAAAGAAGGCTAAACTGCAAAAATACTCAAGAGTGAGGAGGTTCATGCAACAAAAAACTGGGGTGGTTATTCTTCATAAAGAAATTGCACTAAATGAATTTCAACAGTCAAATATTTAAGCATACAAGATCAAAGTGATAAAGAAAACAAGAATTTAGGCTACAACCTGTCATTGCAAGATTCATTTATCATATACTTGAAAATTACTGAGAAATTTTAGAAGAGAAATTTTAGAAGAGAACTTTTGTCTGATGTCTCTTTCAAGTATGTACTAAATAGACCTACGACTTATAGAAGGCTAAACTGCAAAAATACTCAAGAATGAGGAGGTTCATGCAACAAAAAACTGGGGTGGTTATTCTTCATAAAGAAATTGCACTAAATGAACTTCAACAGTCAAATATTTGAGCTTACAAGATCAAAGTAATAAAGAAAACAAGAATTTAGGCTACAACCAGGAAAACAAGAATTTAGGCTACAACCAGGTCAAATTTTTCCACCGCAAAAAAAAAAAAAAAAAAAAGTTTG